CAGAGGGGATCACACGAGCGGCCCGGCGCAGATGGCCGGTCCGCGCGAACCCCGGCAGCGGCGCCGGCATTTACTCCCGGCCCCCTAACTCCCCCAGGTACACGCGGCGCAGATGACCATCGGCCGCGCATGATGGCAGCTCGGGCGGGCGCCGCGCGGCGCACAGGGCCAAATGCAAACGAAGCCATATCAGGCCGTTACCAACCCAACGTTTGCTGTTGCCTCCACTTTTGATATTAGCGCCATAGCGCTAGATAATAACAACAGGTTTCTCCTCCTCTAATGTTTTCAGCACTAATCGAAAGGCCTTGATTTGCGGCCAGACTACTTGTGTAGGAGGAATGCACTGATTACCGCCCCCCGTCCTCCGACCCGCGGCCCCGACCAGGCTCTTCACACGCCCGCCGCGGTGTGGTGCCCCATCTCCACGGCGGAGCGGAGGCCTTCGGCGCGCCGCCGAGCAGCGCCACGAGCGGCGAACACCTGATTGAAGATTAGAGGGGAGGCGGGCCTAGGCCACAGGCTGCGAGAAATAATCAAAGAGGTCGATGTTCAGGGAGCGTGAGGCGTGAGGAAGGGGGGGGGGGGGCGTGAGGGGCAAGGATGAGAGGCCCGCCCCGCGACCCTGAGCCGAGGCCGAGGGCATGGAGTGACACATTCCGGGTCGCATTTTACATCAACGTTTACAAACAAACGAGGTCCCCGCGGGCCGCGCCTCCTCGCCTGACAGTGCGCGGGGCGCGGCCGCGTGGCCAGACCACAGCTGTGCACCGCGAACACTCGCAGCGCGTGGCGTGGCGAGGCAATGGCGGGGGGGGCAGACGATAACCGGACAGATAACGCCCCTAGCGCCGCTAGAGCGCGCCAGAAGGGGCCGGGCCGAGCCGGTGATCCTGAACGGGCGGAACGGGCGTCGTGCTACTGTGGTGCTACCCCCTCCGCACGCAGACCGAGACCCGCTCCCCTCAGTAGCGTAGCTGGCGGTAGCCGGCTCGCTCCGCTTTGCTGCGGCAGCACTCGCATGGAATACTACTACTACTACTCACAGTGACCACCCTCGATGCGTGCAGGACGAGCGCGCTCGGCCTCCACGACGTCCTGGACGGCTTGTGAGCCGAGGGCCCGCCAGGGACGACCCCGGCGCCCGCTCTTTTCGCGGCGCCCTCCGGTCGGAAGCTGACCTTCGGGGCCCTCGGCCCGGCTTGCCGGCGGTGCTTAGAGGGGGAGGGCTTGTGTGCCTGCGCCGGGCCAGCGGGCGGGCCCACGAGTCCCACCGCCGGGGGCGCCGCCCCTGCCCCTGCGGGTGTCGGGGGTGCCGGCTCCGGGGGGCCCTCCCCGGAGGGCCCGACCACCACCACCGTGGGCAGCCTCGGCACGCCGGAGGAGGAGGAGGAGACCACCGCCGTGTTCCTATGGCGCCCCATGTCGGCCGTCCGGCACGTCGCGCCCCGGGCGCATCACGCGGGCACGTCCACACGACAACACGCCCGTCCGCCGGCACGTCGGGCGCGCGTCAAAGGCTCGTCACGCACAGCTCCACGCCCGCGCCGTGGACCGGTCAGGCCCCTGTCTTGGTGGCAACTGGTTGGTCCGTCCGCGCCCGCCGCGCCGCGCCCGTGGTCCGCCCGCGGCACAGCACAACGCGCCGGCGCGCCGCGGGGGCCCGGGCGGGGCGGGGCGGGGCGGCAGCGTCCAGTGATGGCGTGGCGTGGCACGGCCATTACCCAGTCAATTGCAGCACACAGAGCGGGCCCAAGCCAAGACGCTCCTCACCTGATCCGACTGACCCGGCGCCGGCCATTCGTCTAACGGCCACGGGACGCCGCCGCCCGGCCCTCGGCCCGGCCCCAGCGAGCCGCCAGCAGACGGACGACGACGGGGCCAGACATTCCTTCCTGCGACTGCCGCGCAGACAGGCGTCTCATCTTTTATTTTCAGTCGTTTCAGTCGAGTTCGCCTCTATACCAAATAATAAACATGGCAAAAAGTGATAAGGCTATTATTGTGAGTCTCTGAAACGGAATGGTATAAAATAATATACAGGCCTGACGGGCGGATCCCAAACAGAGGG